TCCAATTAATCCTCCAAAAGACTTTTCTTAATGGCCTTAAATGAAAATTACTGGAACCAACATTAAATATAGAAGAACGTATGAAAATATTGAATATAAGCACTAATGAACATTTTCTTTTACACTGACAAATGTGTATGAAGCATTATGGACTCCATCTCAATGGAATATGTCTATGGCCCGAAATTGCTAGTTGGGCAAAACTTCTTGAATTTAAGAATTACTGTAAACATGACGAATGATCTTGACAATTGTGGTATAAGAAAGACGGTATCTAGCAACTTCCCCACGCATTCACATGTGGCACAAGGCCGAATGTGAGGTTCCCGAGCCCGTAGGCTCGGCCAAAAATTCCCCGTAGACCGCACATAAACGGGATCGGGTCTGTCTAAATTATACGTTTGGTATAAGAAAGAGAAAGTAGCAAGACCTTAGAGAGCTAATTTTATCATACAAAGGGGACATCAAGGAAAAGGCAAAGCCTAATGGCCCATTCTGGTCAATTAAGTAGCAGAATTGAAGGGGAAGACATGATGGAAGAAGACCTTGACAGAGAAGAAAGGCTGTGTTCTTCAGATCAGGACAATGCAATGCAAGGCAAACATATGGATGATAGCGGGAGTGACTCAGAAGAAGATGAAAGCAGACTAAAATCTCCATTAAAAATAGAAGGGCATAAACCACATGAAGGAGAAGAATAAAGAGGGTTTTAGAAGAACCAAAGGTATTGAACCTCTTCGGTTCAGAGAGGCGTAGTGGTTTGTTAAATAGAATTGTATCTATTTGCTAGTCTCCCTTGGCAATAATCTCTAATTAGAGCGGGGATGGATTGTTTCATATCTTTCTTAGGGCATTTACTCCAATGGGAGGACTTAAGATTTCATCTCGACAAATTAATCCCACTTTCTTCAAGTACAATAACTACGGTAAGAGTATTTCCTGAACAATCTAAGCATTATTGTTAATTAATCGATTAGTTTTCTTAGTCTATTTATTAAGACTTATATAATCGAAGGGGAAGACATGATGGAAGAAGACTTTGACGGAGAAGAAAGGATGTGTTCTTCAGATCAGGACAATGCAATGGAAGACAAGCCTATAGATGATAGCGGGAAGTTATGGAAGAAAATGAAACGATATATTTCTTAATCTATTTATGAAGACTTCTATACATTCCGATCACAAAAAATCCACATTAAAGAAATCGATATTTTGAGTTCTTTAGATTATTATTGACACGAAATATTTCTATTTAGGGATTTTATTGAACTAAACAATTTAATTATCTAAAGATACGATTAAATATTAAGTTCTTTTTTGTTCTTTCAATCACCACTTGTTTTTAATAGACCGTTCTCGGCAAAATTGGGCAAAATATTTTTCACAGAACTTATTTAAAGCCGATTGCGATTTTAATAATAATAAACAATGTAATTCAACTGTAAATTCTCCCCCACCACAGTGTGCAACTAATGAAGATTTTTCTTTACTCGGCAAATCGATTCAACAGATCACGCACAAACGACAACTATACAACCCCGCCCTAGCCCGAAAAAGGTGACCGAGGTACTCTAAGTATAAGTGATAAAACGTTTACAGTAAACTAAGAGACAGGAAAGAAACTGACTACCGATCACCTGTTGTAGAACAACGCAGGACAACAATAATATAATCTCCCTTCGAGTGAAGAACACCAAGGTAGACGTCTTTGGTCCCAGTATAGAATTTCGACTGTGACATAGGTGAAAGTTTACAATATTTTTTCTTTTATTTTTTCTGAATTAATTCACCGTAAGCGAGCAGGTAATGGTATTAGTACGCAGATGGTTACCAGGAGTGAAAGTGAAAGAGAATACTGTGAAAAGGTAGACGGAAGATAGCGATTGACGTTGCATTTAAAATTTTAGAGATTGTAGTTATCGGAGAAGCAAGTAAACGGAAGAGAGTTCCACTGTCGGTAAATGCGAGAAAAAATTGTTGGAGTAGAAGTGGTGGCTGTATTTAGCAATTTAAATAGTAAAATAGAGGGACCTAATTACCAATCTAGTAGCACATTAAATTCATGTATTGGTGACCAAAGTAAAAAGCCTCATCAGAACAGTTGCCATGAAAATATTTGTAGAAAAGACAGAGGGAAGCTACATCATGTCTGTGACAAAGTGACTGAAGCCAAGATGAGAGGTCAGGATCGATTACATTATAGACTCTTCTTTGGATTTTGTCAAGAATCTCGAGGTGTACAGCAGGTGCACCAGACCAGATATGGCAACAGTATTCTATGCACGAACGAATGGTAGAATTGTAAAGGTATAAGATATATTCAGACGAGGAAATATTTCTGGAACGACACAGCGAATCAACTTTCCTTGCAATAAACGCAGCTCTTGCTTTGATGTTGTTCCACATCAGATCAGTGGAAAACGTGAGGCCAAGAAATCGTAGTGTGGAGTCTAGTGTCAGCCATTCTGATGGCCAACAGAAAAAGGTTATTTCTATTTCTATTCAACTTATTTTTTAGTAGTAGCTATTTTTTACAGGATAAGGGGGAAGATAATGGTTGACCTGTAAACAACAGACCTTGGGGTTGCCAACTCAAGGGGTTTGTTCCATAGGGAAGTGATTCGTGAGAAGAAGTTGTTTGAGTTGAAGTGTGGATGATTTGCTTCGGATAAGGTCTTAGGGAAGATAATGGTTGTCTGAGCTCTAGTAGCGATAAGCCGTTGAACACCCGTGAGAAAGAGGTTGGAGTTAAAAAGATTGAAAAGTGAGGTCTGGGCATCTCCTGCCGAATTACTTTAATCATACCTTTTCAGGGTTTGTTCCAGGAGGGATGAAGTGATTTTTTTTTTTTTTGTGGTTGTTAAATGAAAGCAGTTTTGCTTTAGAGTGTTTTGTCTTCATTGTTGCATGAATATCAGATTGTGTCACGTAAAGGAGAAAGAAGCAATTTCATCAACAGTGTCTTCTGTACGCTTGGCTGTGAGGGTGGTGGAATTAGGCAATGTCTCTGAATTGTGAATCGGAGAGAAAGGTTCCTATTCGCGTCATTTTTGTTTTATACTCACATGCAAATAACTTTGGGAAAGATATGAATCCAGATCTTCTCTGTCAACCTTATTTGTTTGTATTTTTAATCATTTCCTTCTTCGATAATGCCAGTAGAACGCTGGGGGGGGTACAGAAAGTAAAATGGAATCCGAAGACTGAGAATAAGGATCTTCGAAGAAAGGAGCAAAAAGAACAGGGTTCAACAAGACAGAAGATAGCGTTTGACGTCCCAATGAAAGTTTTAAATATTGTAGTTGTCAGGGAAGCAAGAATTCGGAATGGAGTTCTACAGGTGGGATGTACTAGAATAGAAACTCTTAACTAGGAAAACCTTTATCACTCAACTATTGTTACCTGAAAAGAATTTCTTACAATCTGAAAATACATTCTGGCTTTAAAATAACTTGCAAATGTGCTGATAAGCCGTCACCTACAAATCAACTTACCAACAGGAGGGACCCTAAGCAATTGCTATACCCTGAATTGGCTGACAAACCGCAAACCGAATTTAATATATAAATATTGTATTAAAAATACATAGAAAAATGCCAACATCATGCAAAATGTCTGAGAAAAGAAGACTCCAGATTGTTTATCTTGGAAGAAAGCAGGCACAGTATTACGAAAGACTTTCCACAGAATCTTGTTAAGCATGGAATAATCAGGCGAAATCTTAATAAGAATTTTCGTGTTAATTTCTTTTAGAATGTTGGCACAGAATATGATCTAAAGTGTAAGGAATGTGGTACGTCTAATTAGGGAAATCCTTAAAATTCAGTAGACATTATCAGGCATCTGCTCTTGAAATGATTAATGTAATTAATACCATAAAGGCACACGTGACCAAAAAACGTCAAGAAAAAAGAAAAGAAAAGCGAAAAGAACTATAGAATGAGTAAACCGTTATTTGGTCATGGAGCAGCAGAAATATCACCAGAAATACTGATAAGACATTAGTGGCAATGTGTTTTCATCTAGCTAATATCTTATCATTTTGTGGGAGGTGCTTCTGAGAGGTATATGTGAGAGGTATCCTGTATTTGTTTCTTGATGCTTCCAGCTTTTTTTAATCGGTGCGCACCATATTTTAATTCCCTCGGTCGAGTTCTAACGATTGTGGAGCGATAAGCGGTGAGTACATTCTATAATATATTTCCTTTCCGTATTGCCAATAACTGCAGTCGTAGCTTTCATCTTTTCCTTTTATGTCTGTTGTTATTGCGTTAATTAAAAATGTATAATAAGATGTTTAATATTAATGTAACAACTGTTGAAAGGGAGGCCCAAATTTGTCGCATCCAAACAAGAGAATGTAAGACCGTAGCAAAACTAAAATGCTCGCTACATGCAAGTATCTACATGATTTTGGGCACGCGTCCGATTTATTCTTAACGTTCGCATTATAACCATGAGACCCGGGTTCGAATCTCACTATGGTCAGTTTGTCAGGTAGGCGGGATCTATCGCTACGTGAGGCACCTTATAAAAGTACCTGAAAACCATACCGTGGGTTGATCCAAGCCATGAGAGAGAAACTGGGTAGAGGGGACACTTAGGGACCGTTGATAGTTGTGCTAGCACAAAGTCAAAAGTCATCGTGGCCGAGGCTTGTGAAAATGTTGATCAGGCTAGATAACACGCTCTTTCCCATAACTTAGCATAGTTGCAGCATAAACCACAGGTGAGCTCTGTGGGTGTTGAATAAACACAAATGCGCCTGAGCAAGCGTCTGCAATAGGGATTGGCTAGCTGCACTAGTAGACGGGTATCCTCGACTACTATATGGTCTATCCATATGTGTCTGATTCCATCGGTTGATTTATTCGTTTTCTACGGTTTATCAACCTTTTAAAGGTTATTTAAAGCCAGAAAATATTTTAGATGGAATTGGAACTCGTCTCTCTTATCAACAATTCCGGACCATTGTCCGTGATACCACAAGCACTTCCAAGCTTGCGTCACCTGATATTCCTAAGCGGTCACCCATCTAGATAAACACCAGGTTCAACGTTGCTTAACTTCGTTGATCATACGAGAACCGGTGTTTCCATATACGTTTGTGTGTGTTCTTATTACAAGCGATATTCCGGCGTTACAGGAATCATTTCGTTTCACTTTGCCTTCACCTGTGATTTGTAATTGCAGTGCTGTCCCTTAGCAGATGAAGAACATCTTCAATAATTTTGTCAGCTCTCAGACATAGAGAAATATGTTTTCGAACATCGGATTGATAGACAAAATGTCAGTGATTGTTGTGCTGTCTGTCTATTCAAGATTTTATAAGTATGCGAATGTTTCGACGTATTTGCAGGCTCAAGAGTTTGATGTAGGATTTCGTGACCTCCATCGAAACACAGATGTAATTAAAAGAGAAATATATACGTATTGACAGGTATGAAGAGTTTCTAATTATAAATATTAAAATGAAAGTGAGAGATATAGAGATTAACATAGATAGATAGATAGATAGATAGATAGATAGATAGGAAAAGTCTGTGATGGATATAGCAAAAGATAGATAAATACAAAGATAGATAGATATGAACGGACTGAGATAGATAGATAGATAGATAGATAGATAGATAGATAGGAAAATACTGTGATGGATATAGCAAGGGATAGATAGATAGATAGATAGATGCAGACATACATAGACTGTGATGGATAGATAGATAGATAGATAGATAGAAAAAGATAGGATATAGAAAGATAGATAGGATAGATAGATAGATAGATAGATAGAACAGACATTAGATAGATTAGATAGATAGATAGATAGATAGATAGATAGATAGATAGAATATTTGAAATGGATAATTATATATGCGCTTGCATGCGGGAGACTTCGGCGTGCTATAATGGTTAGCAAGCTTATCTCGCTGCTTGAATCTGAACATTGAGTTAATTCCTCGCTAGGTGACCCACACTTTCGAATTTATACCACACCCAAGCTACGCTCTGTGTGGGATACATTTTTCTTCTTTTCTTTCTCGCCTGTCGAACTCTCTACCTGATTCTTGTTTTTTCCTGTCATCTGAGATCTTCAAAAGTTTAAGTACCGCGCCAATCGTTAGTCGCTCTTCAATCCCGTTTTCTCCTTATCTTTTAATCTCAGAAAACTTTTAGTTTCTTTATCGCATGGATTCGGCTGAAATAATTAACACTGGTAGATAGAGACAATGTCAGGATTCCACTCTTTTATGAACATTTTTATTTTCACAAGAAAATTTGTATTTAAACCAATGTTGGCATTTGTTAGATTCTTCGCAAAATCTAAAGAATCTGCAATTTTACAGGTCCTGTCTGTCACCTCGGCTTCAGTCGATTTCCCACGGACGTTAGGTAGCGTACCTCTGACTTTTCAATAAACATTTTCATGGTATTGTTCTGATGAGTTTAAACAGATTTCTCTTCAAATCTATCTAACATATGCATAAGTCTACCATTCATCCATGTTTTCAATGTTATTACCACATATGGCTTGTGCGATAGTTGGAGACACTTGATAAAATCTAAAGAAGGATCAGCCATATTATTGATCCTGGTCTGGCATCTCGGTGTCAATCAATTTCCCATCGCCGTAATGTACATTACCTATACCTTTCTAGGAATATTTTAACGGATATATTTTTCGGATAAACACTTTGCTTGTGATATTTTGTGCAACTATTTGAATGAAATTTAGATTAAAATGGTTTATATGAAAATCCCGTATGGGAATTGGAGAATTGGAAAGTTAAAAACGTTAAAATCGTTAAAGTGAAAACATGAAGCGAAAAGAGAATTGAGTTCCTGATAAAGTGATGGGCCAATGGAATTGTTACGAATCCACAAAGTCAGAATATAAGCAATCTAAAATATGTCCTGAAAAATCGATTTCTTTTTCTTCTTCAATCAATTTTTTCTTCTTCTTCAATCGATTTCTTCTTCTCATCTTAATATTTCCTTTTCATTTCGTTCCTTCCTCCACGCCCCCTCCTTCTTCTTCTTCCTTTTCAGTCTGCGTTTCTTCTTCTTTACCAAATTCTGCTCTTATGGCACTGTTGTGTCACTAGTAATATGAAATTCGGATAAAAAGGGTTCATGTAAAAATCCCGTATGGGAATTGAAAAATTTGGAAGGATTAAAAAAGGTTAAAAATCGTTAATTCGAAAAAAAAAAGTTGTAATATGAAGCAAAGGAAAAAAATGTTTTTTTCCTGATAAACTAATGGGAAAATAGAATTGTTATGTTCTCTGAAGGTCATAATGTAAGCAGTCTAAAATATGCCCTGTGTAATGAGGAAATGTGATAATTCTTTGACAGCAGAAAAATAGAAATAATTTTTAAACACGAAAGTTTGTCATTGGTAAAGTTATTGTTATGGGTGAATGTATTGTTTTAAATAACTGACCGCTTTGTTTGAGGGTCAATGTTGTTTCTCGAAGGATGGAAAAAAAATAATTTATATGAATATTGATGACCCCTGAGGTGTGGTACGAGCCGGACGAAAGACAAATAAACAGAGCGCTAAGTTGACGCCAGCATTTAGATCGAGAACCGAGACGAGTCAAGGGCGGACAAAGGAACTGCTGACCCCACGAGACTTGCTGCTGAGAGAATTCCCGCTTGACTACCTTGTCATGCTATATTTTACCCGCTCCAAGTTTAAGAAGAAAGAGATTAAGTGTCACGATAGAGAGTTTAACGGGAAGTGTTACTTTTGATGTATCAATGACTGTATAAAGCGATTGAAAATTAAGCCACCGGAATTCTTCATTAATTTGTTGTGTTTTTTTTTTAATTTTCGCCAACAGAAGCGTTTGTAGGACCCTGCTCGCGAGCAAACCAGGAATTTGTGAGTGATCGACTGCTCCGTACTGCCATAGAGCAATTACCCCAATGACCATGTTATGGCACAAAATGCAAGACTAATGACCTTCTGACATTGACGCAGGACCGTGATGTCTGGCGAGATAGATTCATGAATGTCCAAGTTAGAACGTCCGAATAAATGCATATTCTGAAAGATAATATTTTAACGTGGCTCCCAACACGGTTCTTTTTGTTGCATTGCGTGTCGACTTGGACTTCTAGTAGTTTATCGACAAACAAGATTCGTGACTCTGCTATGTATCGAGAGATACGTGACAAAATGCCATGAGGAATCTGCAATATTATCGATCCTGATCTGGCATCTCGGCTTCATCCACCGTTATTTCTTATAAAAGCACCTTTTCCATAAATATTTTCATGGTAATTGTTCCAATGAGCTTTTCTCTTGTAACTTCCTGCTAGTACAATCAACAATCGACGGCTACCCAAAGAGTTCCATGTACATAGTTTCCCCCATAGCGCTTGTGTCAACCTGTATATTTTTTTCGGGTACTTTCCAAAGGTCACGCATGTTAGGGTCGCCTTCTTCAGATCGATAACCTCCTGACAAATCAATCATGGTGAGATTCGAACCCGGGTTTTATAGTTTTTATATTCAAATGCTTCAAAAATTTAAATGTCAGGTCACTTTTTGCTTTCTTTTTCACTGAATGTTATTCTGTCTCTTTGGACTCTAGTCTCTCATTGCCCCCTTTCCCAATATTGACCTTTCTTCTGTCTTTCAGTAACCCCTTCAATCTTCTATTACTTTGATTGTGGGGGTGAACGGATTGCAAAAAAACAAATAAATAACAAAATAAACAAAATAATGCCAGAGTATAAAGGGTATATAATAAATATACAACATGAATTTCGGTTTATATTATCTATTTTTATTCGAAATATTTATAATTAACCTTTTTATTATATTATATTGCATATGTATTATATATATATTTTTATTATATTAAGCTATTGTATACGTTTTTATTTATTTATTTGTTTGTTTGTTTTTTTGAGACATGGTGGAGTAATGGATAGCGGCTCGGATTGAGGAATCAGAGAGCCGAGTTCGATTTCTGGTCGGATCCATTGCAGTCACTTACGTGCTAATACCCTTGGGAAAGGTATGAATCCTCTTCTTCTTCTCCTCCCCCATCCCCAGCTACGGACAAATAGCAGGATAGACTGGGTTCTATAGCCTTGGATCGAACTGGTCAACCACAGAAAGAAATAACAACCTACTGCGGGAAAAATAATCTGCCTCGTCAGTCATGTATTGAAAGATACATCATCGCCTACACTTGTATTACACTGGGCACATAACTGACTCATTATATATTTATTATTTTGTATATGTATTATATTTTATTATATTATTATATTGTATATGTATTATAGTTTTTGTTTATATTATCATATTGTATATGTATTATATTTTATTATATTATTATATTGTATATGTATTATATTTAATTATATTATTATATTGTATATGAATTATAGTTTTTTATATTATTACCTTCTATATATATTATAGTTTTTATATTATTATATTGTATATGTATTATAGTTTTTGTCTATATTATCATATTGTATATGTACTATATTTTTTATATTATTATATTGTATATGTATTATATTTTATTATATTATTATATTGTATATGTATTATAGTTTTTATATTATTATATTGTATATGTATTATAGTTTTTGTTTATATTATCATATTGTATATGTATTATATTTTATTATATTATTATATTGTATACGTATTATAGATTTTTATATTATTATATTGTATATGTATTATATTTTTTATTTCTTTAGTATTCACGCTATTTGTTTATTCTTTGGTAAATTTCGCTTTTTGCTATGCAAATTCGTCCCATTAGCTTTTTACTGCTATATAAGACGCACATACTTCAAAATATTAAACTTGGTCTTTGAAATTCCCTGTCTTTTCAGGGTATAACATATCATGACTCCCCGGGGGTTCATTTTCTTTTTAATATCTATTGATCGTCGTGCCTTTTTAGAAAATAGAATGGCCTTTTTTCTAGTTGTCCCACTGTTTTAAATTCAAAGGTGCCCTACACTTAGTTGGCTATCGGCTAAGGCAAAATAGTTTGTCTACCTTACTGCAAACCAGGCTTGAACTCGTCCTGCCGAATCTACATTCAGTGCAGATAGCAACTA